GTATTTAGATTGGCTGGGTTATACAAATGTGTTGCGGCCACTTTGATATTTATGATATCTTTAAAAAATCAATTGTCAGAAATTCATGCTCCAATATCTAAACTCCAGCTTGTTAGAGTGCTATACTTCATAACTATATCAAACTCATACAGGAATCACAGTCAGGCAGGCGACTGAAACCAGTGAGGAAGTCTGTGAGCTGGCTCTAGCATCCATCACCACTCCAGGAAAAAAAAAGTGAAAAAGAGATTCACATTTAATCCTCCTAGTAGGAATTGGAGGAGGAGACCCTTCTCCTCCCACTCGCCCTCGCCCTCTTTTCTGCGGCCCATCTCCACAGTACCGCCATTCGAGGATGGTTGAAAATAGTGCATTTGGATGATGTTGTGGAGACGAAGGACTATTAAAAGTCAGGCAAATGCTTTTACCAGTGCTTATGAAATTGCACTGAGGTGCCATGTCGGCTCCTGCAAGTGCTGTCCAAAAAACCCTTCTGTGGCTGATCAAAAAGAACGTGCATGTGCGCGCACACACTCACACACAGACACACACACACACACACAGTGTCTGGGCTCAGCTAGCAGTCCCCATTGGTTTGGAAGGCTACAGCAGGCTATAACAACTACAGCCTGGCCGGCCTGTTAGTAGTGGGCCCTCTGTTTGAGCAATCTGGGTTCTCTTTGCCTTTGGACAGGGACCAGGTCAGGCTGCACAATACACCACTGTGTTTGCAGAGTGAGAGAGAAAGAGAAAACTGCAGGCATGTGATTCTCTGTGTGCACACATATGTATAAATAAGCATGTGTGTGCAAAGCATGTATGTTTGAGTATTTTTTGGTTGTAGGAATACTGTCCATGTGAGCATGAGCATGTGCATGTGTGTGTGTTATGACGGTTGGGCCCGCGCCACACCCTCTCGCTCTTCCACGCCGGACTGCAAGGCCTCCCTCGTATGTCCCCAACCTCCATCGTTACATCATATTTCTACAGCTTTTTGCTGCCTCAGCACAAATAACCATTTTGGGACCCCTGGCGACAGTGTCTCTCCCCCAGGCAGCGTTTAAATGGTGTTGTTGGAAACCTCCAAGAGGTCAGTGCACCAGAAGTAACACACATCACTGTCAGTCTGAAACAATACAGTGGAGAGCAAACGTGTCGGCGTATGCAACTGTGATGACTACAAGGAAAACAGACTGCAGTTACAGAGTGGGCCTGTGCCCCTTTAAGGAACGCAGGCGGCACCTGTCCCTTTAAGATCTATTTCTCCCAGCTTGTGGGTGCTGAGCTGAGCGGGCTAGCCGGAGCTGAGCTGCGCTGTGCTGTGCTGTGCATGTATGGTAACAGGGGGGAACCGCGCCGCCCAGCCTGCCAGCCCACCACAGGGAATTTGTTTATGTTTCCTTGCTGCCAAGTTCCTGTCAGGAGGCGCCCCAAAGAGGAACTGCAGACTACTCAGTACTGTTAGCTACGCCCTCTCGCCTAGAGTGGCTGGGGTTTTCTGCATACAGTATCGGGTGGTGCTTTGTAGCAACACTTAAAACCAGGGAGGTCTCTTCATCAATTTCAGCACTCACACACACACACACTTCAAGCACTCGTTCTGTTGTTCCAAAGCCTTGCTTTGAGAGCACCGAACTTTGTATAACAAGTTCCAACAGAAAGCTTAATTTATGACCTCAAACAGATTAACACCAATTTACTCAAAACACAGTACATAAAACAGCACAAAGGCATAGTTTCATTAAAGCAATGCTTTACGAGTGGCACTTTGTTATGCTGTGGAATATGGGTATTGTAAAAACTGAGCACCACCACATAAAAACACAGTAAACTGGATTGGTAAACTCATGGGCATTAAGTCAAGCACTTGTGGGAAAAAAGCTCAATCTAAATTACTCTCCCACTAATGCGAAAGAGCTAACAACACACAAATAACACATGCAAACATTTCCTCGAATCAGAAGAGACTACAATGCATTACTGCTAGTGAAACAATGACTGCATCGCTTTGGTATATTAATACAATGCCTCAGCCTGGCATATAAATGGCATTTCTTGACTCATCTACCGCATTAGACCTCTGTCAAGCAAGGTCAGCCAGTGCGTCGGTCTCTATCTTGAGTGCTGTGGCCACCCGCAAGTTTGTCTCTGTGCAAAAAGGAAAGAGCCGCTCACTTGCAGTTATGTCAAGGACATGAGGTGTTTGTCTTCATACCATGCACGTGTGATGTCCAGTCAGTGTGTGTGGTAGGACATAGAGAGATGCGTGTATGTGTGACTGAGTGGAGGAAGGAAAGGTCAGACAAGGCCACACAAAGGGGCGTGGGACCCAGGATGGCGAGACAGAGGAAGAGATAGAGAGAAAAAAGGGGAAGAACAAAAGATGGAAGCGTGGATGGAAAGATGTAGGCTGGGGTAAGGGGGACTGGGTGAAAGCAAAAACAGGAAGCCATTTATGTCAGCTTGGATGGTGGGACAGCGCCCACTCCCTGTCACGTGCTGACACATTTCACTGCTTTCGGACTGTACAGCCAGGAACTCCCCATTCACACACACACAAAAACTAAACCAATGGCTGATTGGATTGGATGCACAGGGCAGGCACTGGCTGCATTTGTTTGAATGAGATTCATGACGTCTTGTCAAAATTCTCAATTTCTTTCTCTGTGGGTGGCGTGCCCAAAAACTTAGATCAATTGAGCATCGAGACTTGCAGCACACTTCTGCTATTCTGCTGATGGTGAGGAAGTAAGATGCCACAAAACGTCTTGCTATTCAAATGCTTTACAATAAATGAGGAGCTTGAAGCAGTTTACTAAACCGTAACTCTCCAGATTTGTGTGTTTGTGTAAATCAGACAAATCAAAGTGGTTAATCAGAAGGTGGAAGTGTTGGAAAGCCCCAGTGTGCAACACAATCGCATCAGACAAATTCATCACAATGAAAGAGCAAAAAATGCCCAAGAGCCATCAGAGTTTCAAAGAAACTGGCACAGTCACACAAGGGAGGCAGTTCTAATCTTACATGGGAACATCTAAAAACAGAGTACAAAAGCTGCTGTACCATGGTGGCAAGACAAAAAAGACCAAGTCTGGCTAAACAACAAAGGTGTTGAGTGTTGATTATTCAACTCAGTTCAGATACGAGAATAAGAAGTGCCATTATACAGGAACAACTGTGCATAAACAACACATTTCAACTTCCCTGAAGTTTCCATGTGTGGAGTGCAGTTAGAAAAAATGACACTGAACACTGAAAAAAAAAAACACAGGAGTCTCATTCTAGACAGAGGGAGCGGCAGCGGGCTCGGCAGCCACCACCGACCTACCGCACACAGAGTGTGAATCATTAAAGGCATGTGTTCCACATCAACTGCTGGGGCCGGTTCCCAACCCATGTATGAGACTGGATTTAAATTATGACGGCGAACGGAGGGTTAACTACCGCTTTACGTGGAGACGATGAAAGCCCCAAACCTGCTAACTCAGAAACTGAGAGTGAAAAAGAGAGGGAGAGAAACTGGAAAATGAGTGAATTCAAGTAAAGCATGTACCTTCTGCCAGTTCACAAAATAGAACAGGGAGAATAAATGAGGCAGCTAATGGAATAATTACGATATCCAAAAAGTGTGACGTATCATCATGAACAGATGAAGTGAGTAAGGTTTGCCCTCTAAACAACTAAAATGAGAGCCAAACTGAATCGAAAACTGACCTACTTTAATTCCTACGTGTTGTTCTGGCTGCCTTTGCCAGTTTCTAACCTCACAAAAGCTAAGACAACACAGTGGGAGAACCTTCTCCTAGAAAACAACTCAGTGGAACTCAGAGTTTTTGTATGCATATAAGACCGAAGGGCCATCCTCAGTCTTTTCCATCAGGCCACCCGTATGCCAAACTGGTTGCTAACGGTGAAGTGTCTGCCAGACCACTTGTCATCCTCAGTTACGACACATGGACGTTCTTTGTGGGTGTGAACGTGTGTTTGTGCACAGAGACAGAGACACACACCCTCTCTGGTGTGGGCATCCAATGAAGGAGGCGATTTGTAGAGTCTGCATTCTTCTGGGTATTGGCTGGCATCTTGGTACACATACCATTCTATTTGCTTTTGCCTGGAGGCTGGTGTGGGGGAAGGAGTGACTCTGGGGGGGAAGAGATCACCTTTCCCCAGGGTCAGGAAAGGATGGAAAGGACGGGACAAGATAGGACAGGACAGGACAAGACATGACATGATAGGACAGCAAAATACAAGTTTATACAGGCAGGAGAACACCAAATAGGACAGGACAGGTCAAGCTTAACCACATTCCAGGGGACTGTGATTGGTTGAGGGGACCTGGCAACATTCTGGCAAAACAACACGAAATTAAATAAAGGGAAATGACTGAATGAAATAAATAGTACATTATTATTCTTTCTGCTGCCACAATGCTTTGCAGCCAATACAATGAAGATGAATCAGTTTCAATAAATCAGTCTATATTCACAGAGTGATGGTCCAAGTTCTTCAAACCAGTTCCTAATGATGAATAGCTGTTTTTGTTTGGTCTTTGTCGCTTGAACATGACAGAGCAAATCTCCCTGCTGCCAGCTCCAACTCTGATGCAACAGAACCAGGATTAGACTTGATCCCTCCATTGACAGCATGCAGGCCACAAGACAGAGTACTTCTTCTAAACAGTACAGAGAGTGTGTGTGTGTGTGTGTGTGTGTGTGTGTGTGAAAAGGATTCCACAGGTTTGAAAATACCTCGGCTGTACATAAACAGTGACTGTCACAACGGCAGTGAAAAGCAGGAGATACGACATGGGGAAAACAGACAAATGAATCATGAGCTATACATTCAACACGACCACAAAACCAATATGGCAGTCACATGATGAGGAACAATGCTATTGTATAGAGAGCAAGATGGCGTTTGGTACCCACAAAAACAATTGTGGAGTGTGGAGAAGTCCAATTACCCACAGTTGACAGGAGCGACAAATTCGGGCTTACCCCAAAAACGTCAATCTCCCTGTCCTTGGCCAAGGAAATCTCCCCTTGAATCGATTGCAGCTCCTAAGCTCTGAGGAGAGAGGAAGAAAGAGAGAGAAAGATATTTGAAACCAACAGCTTTGTGGTCCTTATCCACGTGCTGCAGACTCAGTGACTCCCTAGCCTCTCTGGCACAGAACTGCTTCACTACACGAAAACTCTTACACTCTTTTTCCTTCTTTCACTCTCATACTGCCTGTAATCTCCCCGCCCTTTTCCAATAGATTGGACTTTCTCACTCGCTACATTTGTGCCCGAGACATCATGTGAAAAGTGGAGTAAAACAGTGCTTTTGTGGTGTGTGAATTACCTGGGGCCTAGGCAGGCACAGTAGTGCTTATGGCCACAACTCAATTACAGCAATGTGAATCAGGTGGCGGCCTAGAAATCCCCTCAGCCTGATGCACAAATAGGGACACAGAGGCGCCTTCATTGCCAAGACGGAGACGAATATAAAGTGGCGTGTCATCGCGTCATAGAAAGACAGCTAGGCCTATGCTGCACAGATGAATGGCTGCCGCAGACATGGATCTAGTGATACTGGTCTGGAGTAAGTGTCTGAACAATGACATTTTGTTTACACATGTTGCTAAAATATTAGAAGTGTTTGCCAATATGTCTGGTTGCAGATCTAAATTGAAGGAGTCACATGGCACTTAAGATCTCTGATAAACGCCACCTTTGTGCGGCAGAAAGTACGGAAAATGTTTTGCGGGATTGTTTTTAACCAAGAACAAATGGATGAGAAATTACAGGATGGTTTGCAAATGTTAAAAGGCACTTTGTTGGATTTCACGGAATCAACAGAACTGCACAATCATGGTCAACAACATCTGAATAGAAAATTGGTTTGTGTCAAAACCAGTGAGTTTATCCTGTCTTACTGTTTGAGGAGAAAACAGACCATCTCCTTTTAGCATATCCTGGCTACAGGATCCCTCCAGCTCCCATAAAATGTAGAGCAGGGTTTTCCAAAAGCATGTTCAAGAGAAACCAATGACATTTAAAACTGTGGTCTGTTTTGTTTTATTTCACTTCAATATGCACTTGTCACCGTGAGCAAGAAAGTTGCTGTACTTCAGTTAACAAAGAAAGTTATATCAGGACAGAGCTTTCCTGACAGCCATGATAATGGTTGCTCTTTATGATGCCACTACAAATAAAATCCCCTCCCTCCGGGCCAAAGTGGCCTTAGTGCCATTTTACAAGCTGCAAATGAATTTCACACTAATTTGTTATCGCAAGCTCCCACGGACAGTCAAACAATGAACATATAAATAGAGCATTTTAAAAGAAATATTGTGTGTTTATTTGCACACAACTCCAAACCTTAATTCAGTGTTAATGGGGAATCATGTTTTTCAGATTCAGAAGGTGTTTGCCTGATGAATTCAACTAGATTGGCTAAAGTTTCTGTGCAAGCAAATGTGGCTCACATGCATTGGCTAGAAGCTCACCTTCCTTCTACATGTGCTTATTTAGCCTGTTTGACAGAGATGTAGAGGGAAGACCAGACTTAAGAGATGCAAAGCCAACATCACTGCCGAGCGGTGCCTCTGCTGATCCGAAAATGATCGTAATTCTAGACCTATGCATTACAGACATATAATGTAATATTTGTACTGGCTCATACCACAAAACCCTTTCACAACAGGGTGTGGGCACTTACATCATGAACACTTAAAACACAATGCCACATATTAGCCCTGAAACAAATATCACTTGGTTGTGTGAGGTGGGGTTGTCCTTATATCATTTCCAAGCAGGGTAGAGGAGACAATATACAGTAATACTCAAATCTAATATACTGTATAATCCAATACGACACCACAATTTACAGCATCAAGCCTCATCCATTAGAATCTCTTGATATTTTCAAAAGTGAGTAGAAATTGAACACTAGATTTACAAACGTGTGTTGCTGTGCTCCTGTTGACACTGGCATGGCTGTGGTTGGCTGTGTGGCATGGCTGTCCCCAGATGTATCAGAGTGGGTTTGCCAAAGTTAGAAAACTAAACAGTGACTCAGTATTTCTTTAATATGCTCTAGTATTTCTGGATTTTTTTTTTCTTTCTGGTCTGATTTTTGCAGTAATAATAGCGTAGAAAAGCTAAATAAATAAAAGAAAATTACGTAACGCACATGTATTTCTTTACGTTGCTATGCCTTTTAATGGGATTCAAAATAGATGTAATAATCTTATTTTCAGAAGTCAATTGTGGCTTAGCATCAGACCACACCTCCATTCAGTCAAAGTAAGACTCTGGCTCTGTGCTGCTCCCTCTGGTATCTATTCCAAGCTGACAAACAGCCAATCAGCTGGCCTGTGCCCAGACCCTGAATGACTCCTCATTTCACTTCCTGTCTTATTACACAGCCTCACTTCCTGTTTGTGGATCTGAATGGTGTCTGAATTGTGTGTTTTTACTGGTCCACTAGAGCACGAACAGCCTAATTTAGATAAAAGAGCATGTAGGATGAAATGAGGACAGTTTATGCACGTGTTCGTAAGTGTGTGTGAGTGTGTGAGTGTGAAAGTATGTGTGCGGGCATGCGTGTGCGAGTCTGAGGCCTATACACTGATGAGAGTGGACAGGAGTAGCCTAGGGTAATTACGTCATTATCCTTGCTGATGGGTGAAAGCAACTAAATGCAGACACTCACCTTTCACACACACACACACAGACAAGGAGAAGAAGGGGCCCTTACTCCTGGAGCCCTGCCAGACAAGTCCATCTGCTTTTAAAATGGAACCCAATTTACCGCACCTAGAAGGCCTCGATTGCTCAGGGACCCACAGTCTTACCAAGCAGTGCCTGAAACGATCATTTGTTGGGGTCACCCGATCCTCGATGTACGGCCGAGCATCGGCACCTGGGACTGGGATTTGGGTCGCTCGAGTGCTGATGGTTAAAAAGGTTTGATAGGAGGCGGTCCAGCTCTCATGTAAAATCATTCATCGGCCCTGAGTTAGTCAGTTATTCGTTGTGACAGCAGCACCTCTCTACTGCCGCTCAGCACAAGTGTGTAAAAAAACTGATTGCGGGTACGACCAGCAGTCTCCAAGTGCGAGGTTACTTGGAAATGGCAGCCCTGCGGCGAGAGTCATGAGCTCACATTAAAACAGACACAATGTGTTGTTTTAACTCGCTTGGCTCTATAAAATTCCACCGGCCGCGTGCGCGCGCTTACACGCACACGCATTCACACAGTATAAACCCCTCTCTCCTTGAGGCTCTCTCAGTGGTGGAAACCCCCTTCAGTCACACATAGATCACATAACCTCTCTTGACATCGGAGGACAGCACTCCCAATGGAGAGATGCAGATTCACACACGCTGTGTGCCGGCCAAGGCTCCAGACTGCCATTGTCCTTCAGAGTCATCCAAACAAAACAATGAAGAGGGTCACGCAAGGCCCCCTGTGGAATGGTAAATAACCGTAGAGAGTGAGAGGGAGAGTCAGAGAGGAAGAGACAGAGAGAGATTCAGAGAGGCAGAAAGAGAGGAAGTGAGAGAGCGACTGAGAGAGACTAATCCACTGACAATGATAGTGTTATATGGAACGCCAAGTGCAAAATATGATCATCTTGGGGAAGGTGAATTCCACCAATGTTCAATCATTCAAGTAGAATCTGACACTGCTTGAATGGAAAACACGTCAGCTCCATGATGTACAGAGCAAAAACACCCATGTTAAGAAAGAATGTAAATTATCTCACCTCTACATATAAGGAATTATAGTTGCTATAACGCATGGTGGAAACACAT